TTCCGCGAAAGGTCGCGATGGTGCTCGCGAAAGAAACTTTCGATTTCGCGGAAGAAGTATTGTAAGCTATAGTTCCTTTACTTACTTTCATTTCTCTTCTTCCAGTCCGCAGTCATGCTGCCAGGCATGCTCAAAGGTGAAAGGGTTGCAAATCTTTCTGAGGCACAGGTTCAGTCTCAGAATTCTTATCTGAAAATCCGCGAAAGATCCGCGAAAGGTCGCGTAGACCGAGCAAGCCCCCAGCCTTGCAAATCCTGGGAGTCGACATAGCTTCCGCCATTCGGTGTTGGAGTTTAGGGCTTGGGTAAGTTCCAGACCAACTTCACCTTCCCGGTATGCTTTGTGGTCTTACAGGTCCGGTTTTGCAGTTGAGGGTATGTGTCAAGAGTTCTTTTGAGAGTTCAGGGCTGGGTTTTTGCTTCAAACATGCATCTGCGAAAGCTCGCGATGGTGTGCGCGAAAGGAACTATGGATTTCCGCGAAGAGGTCTTTTTGTCATGAAGGTAATATTGGGCAACGCCCACATATATAGTTCCAAGAAAAAAGATGTGTGAATACCATGATCCAGACTAGCTAATCTAGACCTCAATGTGATGTTTGAAATTTTACGTCCTGCAAACCGCGTCGCAGCCGCTCCAACTGCATAGCCGTTTGCTGACGCCCGCCTCAAGAGATCCTTTGGAGGACCCACGGCTCTTCGGCTAGTTACAGGAGCCGTCAAGGAACTTGCTTAGGAGGAGGCCGTCCGTCGCACAACTGGAACATACTGAAACTCCTGCGCTTGCACAATCTTGCACAGATCTTTCATTGACTGGGGACGGTGTCAAACGAATTGAATGTTAGCTTTGGTGATGCAAAGACTTTTCAAGAACTCCTGGACGACGACTCCTCCTCGTCCGACTACAGCGGTGACGGCGGCCACGACGGCGATGACGACAACGAGCAGCAGCACCACCACTAGCCGACCAGCACCAGCAGCATCGGCAGCACAAGCGCCTGCATCAGTGCAGCAGCCTTGCAGCACGCAACAGCTCATTAGCTGCAGCAAGCAGCAGGGCACCATCATACCAGCACCAGCAGCGGCATCTCCACGGGCACCCAGCACTCAGCACCAGCGGCAGCGGCGACACCAGCAGCGGTTCCCAGCAGCACCGTCAGCAGCAGCAGCAGCAGCAGCAGACCACCAGGCCAGCAGACCAGCACGCCAGCCGGCCAGCCGGCCAGCCCGCAAGCGTGCCAGCGCACCAGCACCACCTCAGCACTAGCGCCAGCACCAGCAGCAGCAGCAGCAGCAGCAGCAGCAGCAGCAGCAGCAGCAGCAGCACCACCCAGCACCACCACCAGTAACACCGCAGAAACAATAACAACAAACTCTACTTGCTAGCCCGTCTGCTACATTTCCTCTTCCTCCGTTTACTTTTTGGTACGCGGAGACGCCGCCTACCGCGCACAGCTCCTGTGTTCGCTTTCGCTGATTCTCGATGGAAGTCTGGCACAATTGCCGTCACAAATTCACTTGTCGCCACCATCACTGCTATCATCAGGCTGCTACCATGGACTGCAATTGGGGTCTTATTCTCCGGTATGACGGTCACCAGAATTTCAGAATTGAGACGCTGCCGTTCCCATAAACGCCACTAGCATTGCCAACAACGTGCTGCAGAGCATCCATGCCCAAATCATAGGAACGTTCGTGTTCCAAGAACATACAGTCACCAGAGCATCCATGCCCAAACTATAACAACGTGCGTGTTCCAAAAGTATCCTTGCCTCAACCATAACAACACGTGTGTTCCCACGGCATATGGTCACTACAGCATCCATGTCCAAACCATAATAAGAACGTTCGTGTGCCAGGAGCATTCGGTCAGCAGAGCATCCATTCCCAAACCATCAAAACGTTCGTGTTCCAAGGGTCACCAGAGCATCCAGGCCCAAATCATGGGAACGTTTGTGTTCCACGAGCATGCGGTCACCAGAGTATCCATGCCCAAACCACAATAATTTCTGTGTTCCCAGAGCATACAGTCACCCGAGCGTCCATGCCCAAAGAATAATATTGTCCATGGCTAGTTGCATCCGGTCACCAGAGCATCCATGCAGAGAGGATGAAATCCTTCATTGCTAAATCGCACCGGGGCACCATCTCAGATGCTTTGCTCGGTGCAGCATCATGTTTAGGAGGTTTTGCATGTTCCGAGGCTTGGAGAGCAGGCGCTACGCACAAAATCGTACAGGGGAAGAAGTCCATAGCACAGAGACCTAACAGATGTTACTGTGGCCATGCTAGCAGAGAAATCTTAAAGGGCAGAAGTCTGTAGCGCAGGGCCATAACATATTAGCAGAAAATATCACAGCAAGGCATTTGTAGCATAACAACAATTGTCAAACAAACAATTATTTTCAGCAACGACCCTGTTTTTGTTTAAGACGTGTAAATACCATGGGAAACAAGCACATTTACGGACCACACGGCACCTCGCGCGCGTGTTACCTAGTTTATTAGGTTGATGCAGGGCTATTTGTTGTTGCGCACTGGAATTCTGGGCCGGATCCTTTTTCCAATAGTCCGGAAGCCTGTACCTCACAATGTTGCTTGCACCTTCCAAGGGTCTTGCTTGTTGAAAAACTTTTTTGCTATTCGCAGTAAGTTTGCCACAGCAGGGTGGTGACGACTCCTTCAAGCGCAAGTGCAAGATCATATGCACCATGGGCCCTTGCTGCTGGGACGTTCCAATGCTTGTGTACCTTGGTCGCAGCAGATCGGGTGCACAAGAAGTATGACAAGCACGTCATGCTTGAGGAAGCTCATCGACCAGGGCCTGAACATCGCCAGGCTGAACTTCTCTCATGGAGACCATGAGGCGGAGAGAAGACGTATTCCAAAGTAGTAGCAAGCCAGGTTGTGAAGTTGTCGTACTTTGTTCAGGGCCATGGTGCCACTGTCGGCAGAGTCCGCGAAGCCTCCAAGCAGCGACCTGACAAGCCTGTGGCGAGACTTGGCCTGGAAGAAATGCAAATACCTCCATGCTTCGCTGATAATATAGGATTCTAGGTGCCATCCATGTTCACCGTTTGACCAGGATCTTGCTGGACACGAAGGGTCCAGAGATCCGAACAGGCTTCTTCAAGGATGGGCTTTGAGCACACTGAGCGCTTCATCCTGTGTTCACGCGTCCTATGATCCTTCCACGGGGCATGTCGATGGCAGAGTTCGTGGCCAGATGTCGTGAGTTTAACCGTCGTTTTGTCGCTGTTCGAAATGAACTCACCTCACAAGGGTTGCTCTCACGTACGGACCGCCTTTCAGAGGAAAGCTTGGCTGGTGGAAAGATTTCGCTGAAAGCCGGCCAAGACCTGAAGCTCGTGAACGACTATGACTTCAAGGCATGACAACTCAGATGAAGGCGAAATACTTCATGGCTGCTTCGGAGTCTCAGCTGTGGCTTAGGGTGATGAGACCTGCATCGCTTGCAGCTACAAGACACTGCCCACAGCTGCACCTGGACAGCACAAGGCTTTCTTTTGAGAAATTTTCCAAGGGACGTCTTGGCTAAGGTGAAGCCAGGCCAGATCATCTTGGCCGCGGATGGATCTTTGTCTTTGAAGGTCAAAAGCACGGGCGCTGATCACGTCGTCACAGAGGCTCGAGATCTCAAGCCAGTAGATCAATCTCACAGGAAAAATGAAGAGCTGCAGGTGCTGAACGACATTGCCATCGGAGAGAAGAAGAACATGTCTTTTGACAGAACACTTCCAGATGGGTTTAGGATGCAACCCTGCTTGTCAATTTTGCATGGGGTCGCATGCAGTTGCCCCAAGCTGCTGAGCATTTGTGGGAGACTACGGATCAGCAAACTTTGTTTCATAGCAAACTCCCACAATATTTCGGGGCTTCCTGATATAGCAGAACAAGGATAACAGAGGTCATCAGATGTCAGTGAGGCATTTGACTCATTTGATTGCTCAGGAATCTGCCAGGTGTGAAGGTTGAGTTGCCTGTGCTCCAGGACTGGGGCGGTAGACACCCGGTTCTCCATGGTGTTAGATCATGTCAATCCGGCTGTTGAGGAAAAGGACCGGAAGGACCTCATTGAATTTGGCGTGCCGCAAGGTGTCGACTTCATTGCGGCTTCTTTCGTTCAGGACTGCGCAGCACAATTGAAACATGGCATGGCGGTCTCTGGCCTCCCAAGGACGCCAAGGATGTCAAGCTCATCCGAGACACTCTTGGAATGCGAGGGCGTTCTATCAAGATTATCTCCAAGATTGAGCATCTTGCTTCAAAGATGAGATCATGATGTCATTGTTATAACGAAGTGATACGAAATGGCACTTCAAGGAATCAGGAGGGAATTAACAACATCGATGAGATCATTGCAGAGAGCGATGGAATCATGGTTGCGCGCGGCGACATGGGCATGGAGATTGACATCGAGAAGGTTCTATGAAGCAATTCGACGGTTTGCGCATTTAGCTATGTGTTGTGGAGCTGCAGTCCAAGATCATCAATCGGTCTACACTTAATGCATCTCCTTTAACTGAAATCTTCAGCAGGATGGAGCACATAAGACCGGCTCATCTGTATATCAGCCATGTCTGATGAACGTTATTTGGTTTAAGGCAGTTGACGGAGGCTCTCAAGAAACATCGGAAAGAGTCTGCCAAGATACAGACCTTTCAGTAAATATCAGTAGATAGCAGGCATCGAAGCACTTTCGGGAAAGTTTGCGCTGCTTTGGCAGAAGGTCGGGCTGGTTCAAAAGATGATCATCATGAAGTGCGCTGCTGAGAAGTCAATTGAGCTTCATCTTCTTATGCCACTGAAGTTGAATTTGCCCAAGGTGCAATGCGGCTGGCAAGTTCGTGGTGACAGCTACGCAGATGCTCGATTCCATGGAGCGAGCTCCCCGCCCAACACGCGCCGAAGCTACAGATGTGCTGAATGCTGTTTTGGACGGCACGGATGTCGTGATGCTTTCTGGTGAGACCGCCAACGGCAAGTTCCCTGAAGCCGCTGTTGCAACCATGCGGAGAATCTGTGAGCAGGCAGAATCAGTGCTGGATTACAAGTCCCTCTACCTCAACATGCGACAGCTTGTCCTGAAGAAGGACATGGGCATGTCGGCGGTGGAGTCTGTGTGCTCCTCTGCAGTCAAAGCCTGCGTTGACTCCAAATGCCCACTGATCATTGCTCTCAGCGAGACTGGAACAACCGCAAGGCTGATTGCCAAGTATCGCAACAGGCTCAGACAACATTGAAATGACCCAACTGTCAGCAAACCGCTAGTGCCTGCACCTGAATCTACCACTTAGGTCCTCAGTCTCCGATCCTGTGCATCACAGCTAGCGAGACCAACCTTCGACAGCTGCTTGCAATTCGTGGCGTCATTCCCATCCTCACAGCTTCCTTCCAGGCCACATGTGCGCGCCTTGTGGCACAAGGATGAGCAGCACCATGTGCACTTGATCAGGGCACCGACTCTGTCATTGCCAAAGCCTTGACTCGAGCCAAGGAGCACAACATGGTTGCAGACTTGGCTTTTCAATAAGAGGGCTCTAGCTAGGTTTCATCTGCTTATTCGCAAGAAGCTGCAAACCCTAGGTGAAGTCTGGTGACATTGTTGTGGCCGTGCATGGCCAGAAGGCCTCCCTGTTGATGCTTGCAGCTGACTTTGGTTTGCAGAATCCTGCAAATCCACTTGTCAGGAAGAATGCCCCGGAGCCTCAAACCTGATGAAGATGGTCACGGTTCCGTGACACCCCGAGCCCTAACAGATGTCTTTACTGACTTGGCTTTGAAGAGGCCTTTCCATCTTGCAAACATTGGCTGCAGCTTTTTCCAGCCCGTGAAAGCACTCCGGAGCAGACAGGTGCTCCGCACAAAGTGCCAGGGCTGCATTGCTTGATTGCCTGCATGAAGCCGCTAAGCAAAAAGATGTTGTCGTGGAGCAGGTGCGCATACATAGACCACGTTTAGGAAGTAACGATATTTATGTTCGCAAGAAGAAACACTTTCGTTACTTCCTAAACTTGTTGTCTATTGCAGTAAAACACTTTCGCCACTTCCTGAACTTGTGTTCTAGCGTGATAAATCGCTTCTGTTACCTCCTAAAGTTGTTTTTTTATTGTGATAAAAAATTTTGTCGTAACTTCCTAAACTTGGTGTTCGATGATTCAGCTCTCGGACGATGGAGAACATTCTGGTAAGCAGCTGGTGAAACTGCCTTTGCTGGCCGTTGCTGTTTACACGCCGCAGCTAACGTAAACCGCTGGGGTGTTAAACGGTATTGCTCGTCCGCCCACCCCCCCGTCCCCCCCGCTAATATGCACATTAACAGGGGCTTCAGGATGTTTTGAGTATACTACGTGTCCATTTTTCTTACGTGGATCTGGGAGAGGTAGATCCATTTTTAGTCTAGAAACCTTTGAAAGCAATCCGGGTTCCGCAAAGCAGTCAATCAGATGATCCCCATTGGGATCCACATTGATACCTGAAAAGTCTTTTGATTTCATTCGAAATTCAACTCAGATGATCTCTTTCACTTGGGGGGTCTAGCCGCCTTCTGAATACCCTAGCAATGAAATCAATTCAGTGCGGAGTCTCCCTGTATTAATGCTCAAACATAGTCACTCTTCCAAGAATGTTCGGATGCATGACATCATTTGGACACTGATTTTGAAGGTCCGGGCATCGATGAAACCGACCAACTTTCAATATGCTTCACATACGACTGAGAGCCTCCAGGAACAGAGTCCAGGATCTTTCAACGAGCAGCAGGCCCTTGCTGAATTTTGAGCTTGTCTGATTCACTTATACACAGTTTTAAGCAGTGGTGGGAGTCCACAGTCATTTAGTTTACTTGTCAGTTACCAAGCATGCGAAGACGAGACTTTCAGGAATGGGCTGGTTCCTTCGTGAAACCAATCGATGTGAATAAGAGGGTTATTCGACGCTAATTGGGGCCTTTACATAACATGTATTTCAGAATTTTACAACATCGAGTTATGTCATGATGGATGTTTGAGATGTCCAATCGCACAAAGGGCAGAGGTATCAAAAACAGATGAGCATCAAGAAAAAACTTGACAAGCATCAAAAAACACATCAACAACAGACTTGCTAATTTAGCTGAGAAAAATCCAGAGAACCCTGAATTCCCAAGATGTTCCGATCTCCTGGTCCTCGTCTGGTCTTGTGGTCGTTTGGTCCTGTGGTCCCCTGGTCAGTCTTGCACCACTGAAGAACCCCAGAAACTGAAACAATTAAAGTACCAACCATAGCAAGTATAATATTTACAGCGGTCATCGCTCTATCGTACCGCTCATAGTATCTTGAATCATGGGGTCAAAGTAATTCTATACTGATCATGGTAACTATACTTACTACAGTAGTGATAGCCGTAACGGCGTACACATAATTTCGATATTGATATCTCTAATATGAACGATACATTCAACTCTAACACTACTAACAACATGAAACACACAATTAACACGAAGACTACCAATCGTATTCGTATCACTGAAAATACGAATTAGAAGATTTTCTGTGTTTTTCTTTGTGGTCTTGTTAGGAAGAAGGCACGGAGCAAGGAAAGAACCAAGGAAGCAAGAAGGACCGGAAGGAATCCTCATCAACGACTGCCGCATTTTCCAACGGTTTGCACATGGGGCGGGGACCGCGCCCCGCCAACCCCCGTTTGTCAAAAAATATTAATAATGCGTCCTCAAAAGGGAGCTATTACATTAATTCATCAATGGTTTGCAATGCCAGGGTGGCTGCACCCCCAACCCCGCGCTTTTAACACATGCATCCTGTCATGTCAGCTGATGGAGCTTGGGTAAGGCTGGAATTGCAAATAGTTTCAGACAAATTTATACATTGCGTCAGAACAGTGATACATATTTATATGCATACTTCCTAGACACCGGGGGCATCTGCACAAACAAAGAAGCCCACGCAGCTAGTAACACATGTGGGCTTAAAATGCCGATCGGGATCATGCACGCGCAGTCGCTACGCTGCCCGCGTCCCTCAAAGGTTCAGGACCCGCATCCTCAGACACCAATAGTTTTTCCATACACCCAGAAGGCTTTCACTCCTCCTTCCATTGCGCCTCAGGAAGCCTTTGCACCGCTTGCGCCTGTTGGCTGTTCTCAAGGCTGCCTAGATCAAAATAGATCAACATGATTGAAGCCCGACGGTTTCTTCCCCACTTCCAATGGACTAGAGACCGTCCAAGCAACTAGGTCCTCTGAAAGCGCTCCCTGGCCCCCACTCGAAAACCCTCAACCACCCTATACCACCAAAACCATTTTCGACGTCATCATGGGCTCTCTCATGCTCTCTCCCCCTGCTGGCCACACCTGCAAACCCGAAACCATCCCTGCCAAAATCTTTAGCAACATCCCCAAATAATTTCGATCTCATCATGGGCTTCCTGCTCCCCCCTTTCCGGCCCCCACCCAAAAGTAGAAATACTTTTCATTTCACATACCCTATATTCGAATATACGATATATGGGCCTTCTATTACACAGGTGGCACGCATGCTCTGGTAGACTATGGGCTAGATAATGGACGCCATTACATCAGCGGCTCATTTACGGTTCTTCGCGATCCCAGGCGGCTTTTTTTTTTGTTGCACGAGCGGGCATTTACGGTTCTTCGCGATCCCAGGCGGCTTTTTTTTTTNNTTTTTTTTTTTTGTTTTTTTTTGCACGAGCGGGCCTTTTCTCCACTTCCAGACACGGCCTTGCCAGGCGGCCATATGAGCATGTCAGGTGCATGTATTTTTTGGTCGGCGTCCGGGTGGTTTCTGTCGAGGTTCTAGTGTTTCTTTTTGGTTGGCGTTTCAGCCTTCAGCCTGTTCTCATCCTCGTCAACAATTGCAAGAAAGCTCCGAAAACCATGACAATTTTGCATTTTGCCAAGACAGTTCTGCACTTTGCAAATACGAACGCTCCACAAGCCATGACAGTTCCGCACTTCGCCACCGGAAGGTTCCAACAGCGATGACAGTTCTGGCGGTTGGCCACTACGAAGCTCCAAGAGCGACGACAGTTCTGCACTTCGGGCCCACAAGTTTGCAAACGCAAAGACAATTCTGCACTTGGCAGGTATGAGGTTGCTAAAGCAAGGTCATTTTGGCACTTCGCCACGGCGAGACTTCAAAAGCGATCACAGTTCTGCACGTTGCAGATATGAGGTTCCGAAAGCAAAGACAATTCTGCACTGCGCCGCCGCGAGGCTTTTAAACAGAAAACAATTCTGCATTTCGCCGCCGCGAGACTCCAAAAAAGGCCGTGGCAGTCTTGCACTTGGCCGCCATGAGGCTCCAAAAGCCACGACAGCCTTACATTTCCTGACCAGCGATTCCCGCTCGAATTTTTTGAGGTTCATAAAGGTTGCCTTTTGAAGGCAGGTAAGTCAAATTTGTTTCCCTTATCAGTTCTTGGATATTAAGCCCACATAAAGAGAGCTTGCTTGCAGCATCTATTAGCGAAACTGATATTCCTGCTTGTATGAATTCCTGTTTGGTTCCCGGACTTCCCGTTTGCCATGGGATTCTGGCTTTTACAAATCCTTCAAAAACGTTCGGTTAGAAATAATACGAAAAGCCAGGTTTCGTGCATTTCTGTTTTTTGATTGGATTCTAGTCTGTATGGAGCCTTTCCAAAATTCAAGCAGAAGAACGCGAAAGTCCTCGTTGCCTCCAATTCCTGGTTTTGCAGTTTTGGGTAGGTTTCTGCTTTGATGGTACTAATGCCTTTTAGAATTTTGAGAGAAGCCCGAAACGCAAAACAACAAAAAACAAGACCACAATAGCGGGTCCTCACGATTTGTTGTTTTCCGTAGGGCTTCGTGGGTTTTGGTTGGAAACCAAGAGCAGGCTTTTGGATACAAAACAAAAGGAATTTGCTGTTTTTCTCTGAAAAGACCTGAAAACATCGGAAATTTTCTTGTTGTTGAATGAAAACCCTAGAGCGCAGGTGCTGTTTGCCTTTTTCGCTCAGTTACAAACAACAACGCAAATCTAGGTTCGAAGGAAACGCCAAACAATACGGTATTTTCTGGTCCAAACCTATAAAGAAAAGGCCAAACGACACAATTATAGCAGTGCAGACACACTAGTTTTGTGGCAGTATTCCTGCGATGCTGTCTTTGTGGAGACCTTCTCACCGCCAATGGAAATTGCAACCAAGTCAAATGTGCCGATGACCCTCAGTTTCTCCTTGTCTGCGGCTCCTGTGAAATTTTTTTTTTCCGGGGCTAGCTCTTGACTGGCTCCAGCCACGGGTGGGTCTCGGCTTGTGACTGTTCGCTCACGTTCTGTGGCGCTTGCCTGAAATGCGGGACAATGTGTCCACAAGCTACCTTCCGCGGCCGTCTTTCACCTGCCAATGCTGGAGTGGCGGGTTGCCTTGAATTCGACTTGGGAGTCATGGTAAGATCTTTGTGCATCATGCTTCCCCGTTCGAAAGGGATTGTGTTGGCATCTTACTTTATGCAGCAACGTCTCTACTTCAAAGCGGAAAGCAGGCAGTTCGTACCCGCTTCTGAGTGTGCGAGGCCTTGCAAGTTCGTTATCTTCTGGAACACAAAGGAAACCGGAGAAGCTACAGCAGGATTTTGTAAGTTTTGGGTTGTCCAAAAATCAAGGACTTCTATAGTCTTTCTCATGAAGTTTGAAAGAACCATGTAACCAGAATCTTATCCAAAATCACAAATCCAGGAGTTGCCAGGAATCCTGGACTTCGGTGTTATTCCCCAGTAAGTGTTAAAGGGAGTAAAACGGAAAGCCAGAGAGGAATCTGAAATGTTGCTATTAAGTAGAAACTTCAGGAGTTTAGATACATGAGCTGAACATGGAAACAAAGGCAAAGCAAGTAAAACTTATCTCTGAATTCAATCGAAATAACAGCCGAAACCACGTTTCTGCACGTCCGAATGTCACATCAATTTGCTGATTACTTTCTTTTGTTGTTTTCTGCTCATGTTCTTGTAGAGAGAACAAATTTCCAAACCAGAATCGGGTTTCTGTCCTCGCACGTCAAACTGCAGACATTAGTCAACATCTGTTGATCTATGATTTGAGAAGGCGTCAAGAACACTAGTCTGTACAGTATTATCAGCCTGTCCTGTCTGATCACAAAACAGATCTTGCACGACAAGCACATGTAATCACAGAACACGCACGCAGCTGAGGATCTTGGGAGGGACCAATGTATTTTTTTTCATTCCGTTGGGCTGTACAGTACGCATACCTCCCTCTCCCGAACTTTCCCATCATGTCACACGGGACCTGGCGCACTCCAACTTATCGGGTCAACTGCCACATTCCTCGGCTCGAGTTACAGCAACTTCTTTGCAGGGCCTGTACCTCTGTACTTGAGTTGCCTTGCAACTTTTACCTAGCCAGTGGATAAATCCAACGGTATCGATGGTACTTGTTCAGTTTTATCCCAGAAGCCAGCTCACTTCACAAGAATCTCATCCTGGCACTCGCCATGTACGCGATGGGCGGCAAGGACTCTGGCCTTCTCTGGCTTGGCATGGACGATAATATTCGTCTGACATCTTTCAGCAGTTGTTCAGCATGTTGCAGGACCCGAAGGGCCTTTACCAGACCCTTGGCTTGGATCCTGCCGCCAGTGAGACCGACATCAGGCCTCTCCCCACAAAAGGGTCCCAGTCCCAGCTGAGACATCGCTCTGCTGCCGCAAGGAAAGCGTACAGGCGGCTGGCCCTCAAATACCATCCGGCCAGTTTCTGATGTTCATTGAGTGTAGAGTATCTCAGGGCACGGTCGTACAACTGCAGTGTCATCAGTGTTTAAGGACAAGAATGCCAGTGAAGATGCCACCGCAGAGCTTGCGCCCCAGCACGTGCTGACGCTGGGCATGGAGGAACATGGAGGACAAACATTGTGGATTGACTAAAAGGTTCCAGAAAATCGCGAGCGCCTACGAGGAGCTCCGCATAAATCCGCACGATCGTCTCATGTCGTAGTGGCTGTGAGGTGCTCTCCGACCCGGAGCGCCGGGCCATGTACGACTCCACAGGTTGTGTTGACAGTGAGGACGGCGCAAGGCTGCTTTCCAGCATCAGACAATGACATGAGTGTCTACGCAGGAGGTCGATGACGAAGAGGGCCGGCACCTTACACATTTTGCAGCACATGCAGCACCATGTACTCTTGCGGTTTGAGTTCTTTCGAGCTGGAGCTGAGCAGCTGAGGTCTTCTGCGAGCTGCAGGTTTGTTCTCTGCATTTTTCGGAGGTGGAATGGCGCAGGACGCGCTGCATGCTTCACACATCCCTAGCCCAGCATTATGTGCCAGGGATGTGGCAATGCTCCTTATTCCAAGTAGCAAATACCTGTTCTGCGAATGATCAGGATTTGGATGAGGAGGAGCAGGCCACAACCTTATTGCTGTGAACAAGCAACAGATGACTTTTCTCCCTGCTTGCCTGCTTCGGGTGTGAAGATTGGGTTTTCGAGTATTGCTCTTCAAGTAGACTCGTTGTGATGAATTGTCACAAGATGTCACAAGTACGGGAAAGCCGGGCACCGGCTACTGTAAGATTCAACTGATGCAGCTGGACTTTTTGCATACAACCCAGTATGCAAGGTTCCTGTACATGGCAGCGAATCAACTTAATTCCCAGGGCCGCAAACACGTCGTAGTAGCTTTGTGAGCTGAAGAGCACCGATGTTTCTGCGAGTATTGCCATGACTTCCTACATTGCCTGCAGCACCGCAGAAGTGCAGAGAAGTGTTGGCTGCCCCAGGGCATGGCCCTCTTCTCAGCCCAGGGTTGGTGCCCCCAAACCCGAACAAAACCCCTGCCGTCCCCTCTGCATTCCGCGATTTTGGGCTTTAGGAAGAGGAGGCTTCCCGTGTCCTATGGCCATTCTTACTAAAAGTTGCTAGCTAGTCCTTCTTCCGATACTCATACTCATGCAATCAATCATATGAATGCTTATACCACTGGTAATACTTAATCCTAATCTTGTTATACAAGGTAATGTTGACTAGTAAGTCCAGCGCACAAATTAAGATCATTTCTGATACTGTTACTAAATATAGCCCAGCGTTCATAGCAATACTCACGCGAATGCTGGTGCTGATTCTAAAGCTAGACCTAAAGTGAACATGAAATCAAACGCAAACACCAAGACTTCCGCTAAGGCAACTGCCAATGCCAAGATCAGCTAATGCGAATTCTAACACGAAGGCTAATGGCTAGTGCCAATGCCTAAATTGTTCCATTTTGTCCATTTGTTGCCGGAATCGTTACGAGCACAAACACGCATACTACTACTAAGCCTCCCAGGAGTGCTTGTGGCCAAACCGTAGCCAGAAGTGCCAACTGATGTCGGACTGACTGTGGCTGTCGGTTGCAGGCTCTTCTCGACGAAGTCCTGCGGATGACAGGAGCCTCTTCGTTCCAGGAGCTACAGCTGGGGATGCTTCTGCACTGGGTTTGGGAGCAGACAGCAGGCCCGCGGTAGCAGAATGCGGCGCAAGGCGGCACAACTGAAGCATACAGTCTGTCATGATGTTAAGCCTGTTTTCACATTACTGGAAAGGCCGGAGCTTTGTTGTCCGGCTTTGGTTGCCAGGGGCGTGGTCGGAAAAAAGCAGGTGGCATGTCCATTGACGAGGCACGGCTCCAAGTTGTCACTATGAAGAGAGATTTCTTTGTGAATGGACAGATATGGACAGATGGTATAGATTACAAATTTGAGGCTCTTGCAGCTTAAGAGTTGCGAATTTTTGGTCCAGAGTTGGCCTATTGCAGTGACACCAGTCAGGTATTCATGGCGGCCATGTCAGGCCGAACCGAGCCTGTAGCGTGATATGGCATGGCTTACGCGTGGCTTGCAAGAGAGAGGACTGCCATCCTTCGAAGCAACATGCCCATCAGGGTTGGAGCCTGAGGACGCGGACCCTGAGTGGCGAGTTCCTTGATGTGCTATGTGACCAAAACTTTGCGGCACAACCGTTGCCAAGCTTTGCAGGAAACACTGTTTCTTAGTTCCCTGTTCTTGTGTGGCATTGAGCCCTTTTGAGAAGCATGTTGGGGGTTCGTGTGCGTTGTTACCCTTTGTGGCTCGTCTTCTTGTCATTCCGACGCGACCTGATCAACTTGCGGATGGGTTTGCGGGTTGAGCTCAGCTTTGCTGGACAGGACGGGGGTACAAATTGGATAGGGACGCGAATCTGGCTGATTTTTGCAGGCCGCTTTTGGTTCGGGGCCTAGACGTCAGGGTCCGTTTCGGGCAAAAAAGGCCACATCAGCGCCAGGAGAACTACTCGGGAAGGCCAAAGCTTCAGGTAATCACTCGATGCCTTTTTCCATTCCACGAATTACGTTTGGGAGAGTGCCTGCGGTGCCGCAAGCGCTGTAGAGCACTCCCCGCGCGCGTGTTACCATGTGCGGTCAGCCGCAATGAGCTTCCCTCCCCGCACACGCTATGCCATTATGCGCTACGCATGTGTGCTTTCTGCAGTCTGCTGTTTTTGCAGCAGTTCTGCGGTGCCCACGAAAACATGTCTTTGCCTTAGAGGCAGCAATGTCAACGCCGAGGCATGCCCTGAAGAAGAAGAAGGCTGATGGAGGCGCAGGACTGATTTGCTTCCTGCAGCCTCCTTAATGGAAATGCAGAGGCTACGAATGCGATGCCTGTGGCAAAGATATCCCGAGCGAAAAGCGCTTTTTCGATTGCCGCAAATGTGACTTTAGCATGTGCCTTTCGTAAGCGCCCCAGGACATGCAGAATGATTTGTAGCACAATTCTAGCAATGCCGCTGCCACGAGGTGCCATAAGAAGGCAGAAAGCAGAGCGATGGAGCAGCAGGATGAGGCTAGCTGGCATTTTTTTCACGTACGTGCTTCGCTTCCACTTCCACTTACAGGTGATGTGCAAGTTGTCAGGAAGACACTGATGCGGAAGTGTTCGAAGCATTCTGCGAAGCCAACCTGCAGCCTGAGCGCCAGGATGGGTTGCGAAGATGTCAAGCACGCTCATTTGTACATGGCTAATCCTGGCTTTCAGGGTGGTAGGCTTCGATTCCGCTGCTCCCTCTGCAGAATCGTCTTGGATTCGCAGCATGAGGTGGGCTTCTTGTCGGAGGGATCGTTGCAAGGAGAGTGCACATGCTGGAGCCCAAGGCCGCGGCACACATTGCGGAAGATCATGCAGCAGAGCTTGAGGCTGTCTGCCGAGTGCAGGCGCAACACCTTCGCCTCTTTTGATACTCATGTTGCCAGCAGGCGGTGAGCAATGAAGTACGCTCAGAACTCAAAAATGGCTACGGCACGTCCTCCTCCGCAGGACGCGCTGAGAATCACTAGCCAACCCTGGAAGCCGCGCACAAAGGAGATTAGCAATGCGTCATAATGCGTCGGTAGGAGCAGGCGATGGTTACGAATCCTTCCTTCTGGGAGCTGCGCTGGAGGCGCATGATTCTGCATGATCGCCTCAAGCCTTCAAGCCAGTTTACTATTTTGATTTTGTTCTTATTCTCATTGTTGCTGATGCAGCTGCTGCCGCCGCTGCTCCTATCATTATACTTGCAGATGCTGCTTGGGCTGGGGCCACCGTGGTTGTGGTCGTGTTCATGGTCGTGGTGGTTGTTGTTGTTGTTGTTGTTGTTGCTGTTGCTGTTGCTGTTGCTGTTGCTGTTGCTGTTGCTGTTGCTGTTGTTGTTGTTGTTGTTCTTCTTGTTCTTGTTCTTGTTCTTGTTCTTGTTCTTCTTGTTGTTGTTGTTGTTGTTGCTGTTGTTGTTGTTGTTGTTGCTGTTCTTGTTCTTGTTCTTGTTGTTGTTGTTGCTGCTGTTGTTCTTGTTCTTGTTCTTGTTCTTGTTGTTCT